AAATAAATAAATAAATAAATAAATAAATAAATAAATAAATAAATAAAGATCAGCGCTCTCTTCTGATCTCCCTAATAAGATAGTACTCGCTTTGCTCAAATGAAAAGGAAGCCAAGGAGAGAAGTGCATGAATGATAACCAAAACTGAGCACTACGGTGATGCATTTACAGTGGCACCTGAGTGACCCAGAGAGGGTTGGTATTAGAGACGGGTGAGGGATCACCCCTCAGTTCCCAAGAACCACGCACACATTAAGGAGGTCAGTGTTTTCTTCCTTGCTGCGCTAAGCACCTGTTTCTGAATTTTAGGCTCTGTAATCTGAAATTCTAAAAGAGAACCCCCAAATCACCTCTCTATAAGCTCACTCTGGTGAACTCCCACTGAAAATAAAAAATACTCACGACAGCAGGCAGATCTCTGTGACTTTGAGGCCAGCCTGGTCCACAAAAGCTAGTTCTGGGACAGGCTCCAAAGCTACAGAGAAACCTTGTCTTGCAAAACAAAACAAAACAAAACAAAAAAAAACAACAAAAAAAAAAACCAAGAAACAAAAAAAACCAAAAACAAAACAAAAAACAACAAAATTTATGACATAAAGAATATATGGGTTTTTTTGGCCAGTCTATGCAAGTTAACATTTATCTACTGTAAACAAGGACAACACATAAACACAGAGGGAGTCTGTGTTAGAAAAGAAGAGGATTAATTTTCTACCCAACAAAGTATCTAAAACCGTGTTCCAACATGATCACTGTAACCTGGAGGATGGGAAGAAGCAGGAAGGACATAAGTGAAAGTTTTCCTAAGACTGTAAAAGACAATCAATTACAACCCATTTCTTAAAAATAGCACAATGTAGCCAGGGCTGCATAGAAAAACCCTGTCTAGAAAAAGATAAAACTAAACAAACAAAAAGCACAATGTAAAGCAGAGAAAAAATAGCACAATGTTCTTAATAAATTCAAAAATTCTAATGGCAAAAGTCTGCCCTTAAAGTGAAAACACAGTCAGCAAGGGGGGTGAGGTTGGGCATCTAGCAGAGTCCCAGAGAGCCAGAGTCTCCTGCAGCAGCGGCCGACCCTGGGCACAGGGGTGCATGGTAATGATCTGTCCTGTCTCTTGGGGGGGTAAGGGAGGCAGTCCCCCCTCCACCCACCTGCTGGGGCAGGAAGATCTTCCTTCCTGCTTGCAGGAGTCTCTCTCTTTTTCTGGCTCTCTCTCTAAGAGGCAGTTTTGGTCCCACTTCTTCCCTTCCCTCCCTTCTGTTTCTCTCTCTCTCTCTCTCTCTCTCTCTCTCCTCTTCTCCCCCTCCATAACCGCTAAATAAATATCCAACCTCACTCTGCATGGTGTGCCTATCCATGTCTCTCACCTGCCGCATGGCTCCTTGCCAGGGAGACCTGCGGCACGGTCTCATAGCGTGACCATCTATCTGTCTGTCTCTCCTGGTGGGACTGGTTGCCCCATCGAGGTTTCTCACCCACCATGCGGCTTCCTATGTGGGACTCGTAGCCCACTGCAGCCACTTGGGCCTGGGACTGGCTGCTCTCGGGACCTGCTGCCCACTGCCGCCGCTTAGGGACCTGCAGCGTTTTTGCCACTGCAGCCTCTTGGGGATCTGAAGCATTTTTACTTTTACCATGACAGCCAGCCCGACCCTAAATGAAACTCTTTCCATCATAGCTGATGCCGGTCCCTATGTCCTGCCTATGCCCATCTCCAAGGCACTCCAGTGACCTAACATGGGTCTCCGCTTCCAGGAGGACCATCGCTTTCGGGGTGACTCCAGCACTACCTACCGCCTCAGCCAGATTCTCGTCGTTATTCTCTAATAATGGTCTCAAGAATGGTATCCTGAAGCCAAATCCCTTCCTCCTAGTCTAGTGCTGCCTACTGCTCTGGGGACCTCTCCACTGCCATAGCATAAGTAAGGGCAAAGAGAAGAAAAAAAATTGGGAATCTGACCTCCACTGAGGTAGAAAATGTTCATTTGCTAAGACGCAGAGGAAATCAACCGAGACCCCTAAAAGAAGGTGCAAAGGGCCTGCTCAGACTCCATCCTCGTCGACACACCCCGCTCCAGCAGCTGGGATGAGAGAGGGAGGATGAGAGACCACGGCTGTCCTAGTCCCTCATCCATCACAAAGTCTGGTGGACTGATCACTCCTCCCTCAGGCTGCACAACTACTCACCAACGCTTCTTAAAGCCTTTCTTGAACCCTAGGCTTAGCTCTGTGTGGTCAGTATCTGGGCCAAGAAGGTGCCACATACTGTATGTGGCAAATTATGAGGTGCATCTCCCTGAGACAGGAGACCCAGAAGGACACCAGTGTCTTCTTGAAGAACAGGAAACAGTATCCTCCCCAGGGCTGAGGGACTGACTTTTGGTGACAGAAGGGTTATCCAACACCCCATCCAGAAAGGGGGCACAAACATCTGTAGTTGTGGAGCAATTGGCTAACGGTTCTAAGTGTTAGACTTCAGTGTAAGCGACCACCTATGAGAAACATCTGCCACAGCTGACAGTGTCGGTTTAAAAATGAGGTCCACTCCACCCCTGCATCCATGACCAGATTCTCCAGCGAGCCTCCAGAGTGTTTTGTTCTCTGACACTCTGTGGCATTATCTTGTGACATGTAAGATAATAAGGATTAGCTTTTTTCTGATTCTAAAAATAATTGTTGGGGGCTAGAGAGATGGCTCAGCGGTTAAGAGCACTGACACTTCTTTCATAGGTCATGAGTTCACTTCCCAGCAACCACATGGTGGCTCACAACCATCTGTAATGAGATCTAGTGCCCTCTTCTGGGGTGCAGGTACACATAGTAAATAAATGAATAAATCTTTAAAAAAATTAAATTGTTAAAATTCAAAAATGCTAGAAAAATATAAAGAGGATAATTAAATTATTTTTTAAAAAGTGAAAATCCAATTTCATAAACATAATGCATGTGGGACAATTTAATCATAAAAGGCCACAGTAGAAAACAATGTCAATCATGACTTCGATATCTGTTATGGAGCAAATCTAATGAATGTTTCATTAGTTTAAGTTCTTTTCCAACTATTACATCTTTTATTACTTTTCATGCAGGCACTTTTTCCCCAAGACCCAAATCAATACTGATGGCAGCGCTTAGCCAGTTCCTACCCTGTAGCAGCCAGAGGGCAGGAAGACCAGCAGTTTCTTAAGTGGCCACCCACCAAACAGAGCAGCACTTCAAGAGTTAGCAGCAGTTTTTGGAAGGGAGGAGGAGGACACTCTTAAATATCTAGAAGTCTATGATATCAATAAAAGAAGAAAATACCCAGACGTACTTTAAAAGACCCTTAAAATGCACTGGTCCACTTAAAAGAAATTGTTCTTTCTTACCCCCAGAGTACTCCAAAGTTTCCTTGGACAGTCCCAGGACTCAACACTGAAATTTAACACACTGAAAAGAAACAGTATCAGAGAGACAAAATTCCAAGACTGTTAATGACCCACACCCAGCCCCAAGGTGGTTCTTACCTACGATCCTCTGATTTGGGAATGGGGTTGGTACAGCGCTGGCTGTTATACTTGGCCACATATTCACATTGCTTGAAGGGGGCAGTCTTGTCTTCCAGAACGTGTCTGATACAGAAAGCGTAACCGTTGAGTCGCCGCTGCTTGCACAGTTTGGGGCTATATGAGCACAAGGGCTTATTGTCAACCTCAGAGAAGTGTATATGTTTCCCTTCATACATCACGTGACTCTATTCCTTGTGAACATCAGCTAAAAGGCCACCACAAAAAAGAAACCCAAATGATAAACAAATCAGAGAGTGTAAAGCCAACTCAAGGAGAGAATTTCACTGAGGGACTTGGGGCCTCTCAGCCATACCTGATTTTAAATCTTCTGCACCACAGCAATGTGAAGAGAGCCCAGGGGGACCACAGTTTGGAATGCTCTCAATCAAAAGGAAGCAGATTGTCTACAAAACATCAAAGGCCTCATTAACAGAGATAAATAAAGTGAGCTCATCCAAAACATTAAATATTTGCACGTCACCCTTCCTAATGTGATGGAATGACTAGAATCTAATATTCCAAGTGTAAGATCCAACCAAATCATATTTACTCTCAAATCATATTTACTCTCAAAGTGGCTCAGAGTTAGAGCCTCTTCCACCAGCTAACACCACCAGGTCTGTCTATACCTGTAATTCCAGCACTTGGAGGTGACAGAAGGACCAGGAGTTCCAGGTCATCCTCAGCTACACAGTAAATAAGTGAGGGGGAGGGCGGGCGATGGTAACACATGCCTTTAATCCCAGCACTTGGGAAGCAGAGGATCTTTGTGAGTTTGAGGCCAGTCTGGTCTACAGTGAGTTCCAGGAGAGCCAGAACTGTTTGTCACACAGAGAAACCCTGTCCCAAAAATCCAAAAAAGTGAGAGGTTGGGGAGAGTAGTATCTGAGAAATGGCGCAGCAGTTAAGAGCAAGAGCTGTTTTTCCAGAGAACCTGGGTTCAATTCCCAGAACCCAAAGGATGGCTCACAGCCATCTCTAACTCCAGCCCCTAGGTCTCCACTAGGCACCCACGTGGTGCACTCACATACATGCAATCAAAATACCGAACACATAAAACAAACAAAAATTTTCAAAAATAGTTTCTTTACAAAGTACTACATTTTTTGCTACCCTGACTAAATGTTTAGCAATTTGTTAAAAAAAGTTTTTTTCTTTTTTAAAATTACTTATTTATTATGTATACAATGTTCTGTCTGCATGTATGCCTGCCCGCCAGAAGAGGGCACTAGGTCTCATAGATGGTTGTGAGCCACCATGTGGTTGCTGGGAATTGAACTCAGGACCTCTGGAAGAGCAGCCAGTGCTCTTAACCTCGGAGCCATCTCTCCAGCCCCTAAAAAAATGTTTCTAAGAAATACAAAACAGAGTTGTTTATGGTATCACACACCTATAATCCCACCATTTGGAAAGGTAAAGCAGGTTTACTTTGAGTTCACGACCAGTCTGTTCTATAAAGAGTTCTAACCATGCCATCCAGCAAGAGCATATTTCAAAGAAACAAACTAGCTCTAGGTAAAGGATGCTTGCTGCCAGGGTTAATGCCCTGATCTGGAGTTCAGTCCTCCAGATCAATACAGTGAAAGGGGAAGATCCGAGTCCTGCAAGTTGTCTTCTGATCTCCACACTTGTCCATGGCATATATGTATACAGAAGCAAACAAACACAAATAAAGAAATAAATGTAATAAAAATAAAAGAGAAGGAGGATGGGAGGTGAGGGAAGGCAGTAAGATGGCTGGGGAGAGGTAAAGGCATCTGCGGCACAAGCCTGGCTACCTGTGTTCCCTAAATCAATCCTTGGAACCCACATAAAAGTGGAGGGAGAGAACTGACTCCCAGAGTTGTTCTGACCTCCACATACATGCTGTAGCATACATGCCCCCACACACATCATATACACAATGATAAAAGTAAATAAAACTTCTAAGTCAGGCATGACGGTATTCACCTGCGAGCTCTCAGCTCTTGTAGAGTAGAGGCCAGAAGAGCGGGAGTTCAAGACCAGCTTAGACTACACGAGAAACGGGTTGGGGAGTTCTCAGTGGACAGAGCACTGGCTATAGAAGTATGAGGAAGATATCTAGAAGCCAGACAGATACAAGGTGAGTGTGACAACCTGCCTGTAATCCCTACAACTGGATGGCAGACAGGGTATCTCTGGGCAAGCTGGCTAGTGAGACTTGCAGTATAGGTGAGTTCTAGGTTCAACTGAAAGTCTGCCTCAGTATATAAGGTGAAGATCAACGGAGGAGGACACCTGATATCAGCCGAGCACGCACACACACACCACATGCCCAAAAGAAAAAGTTAATTAAAAAAATACACACACACATACATGTACCTAAAATAGAACAAATTCTGCTTTTAAAAGATGTTATTTGGGGAGCTGGAGAGATGGCTCAGAGGTTAAGGACACTGACTGTTCTTCCAGGGGTCCTGAGTTCAATTCCCAGCAACCACATGGTGGCTCACAACCATCTACAATGAGATCTGGTGCCTTCTTCTGGCCTGCAGTCATACATGGAGGCAGCACACTGTATTGTATACATAATAAATAAAATCTTTATAAAAAAAAAAAGATGTTATTTAGGGGCTGACAGGTGACTCAGTGGACCAAATCTGACAATTTGAGTTCAGTCCCACATGGTGGGAGGAGAGAACCAGTTCCTGAAAATGATCCCCTGACCTCCACATACCCACCACTGCACTCACACATAAATAAACACATACACAAAATGTAACGCTACTTCCTTTCTAACATTCTAATGTTCTGTTATAACAGTAGCTATAACATCACTAGGTTCTAAGGATCACTGAGCTTAAGACCATCACTAGTACACAGTAAGCTCTGGAGAAACAGAAATTATTCACAGATGTTAACTGTATGGCATGTTACTGTCTTTTCTCCTGCCAGTGATAGTAAGAGATGCTGTATGATCCTGGAGAAGAACATTCACCTCACAGAAGGATCAAATGCAGATTATAAAGTCCTGTACAGTCTATAACAATGAAGTGGACCTATTTTGCAGAGTCAGGGTCTCTCAGACTTCACAAAGACAAAGAAAAGCCCAAAGTATTGTTATAGTTAATCAACTGTATGCACTAATAGACACAACCACACACAAATGCACAGCAAAAATAAGGGCTTTTTCTTTTCACCTTATTAGGGCAAAATGAAGAAGAATTGAAGTAAAGTATTTAGTTGCCCCTAAAATGAGGATGCAGTTCAGGCAGATCAGGAATGATTGCCCAGGAAAAAGGCTGTGGAGTCGATCAGTCTCAGGGGCTGGCATGAATCAGATATGCTGCTGGTCCACACCTGAAATCCCAGCGTTCAGAAGGCAAAGGCAGAAGGACCAGAAGTTCAATGTCATTCTCAACTATACAGTCGTCAGTTATGGGCTAGCCTGGCAGACAGAAGACTCTGACTCAAAACAAACAAACAAACAAACAAACCAAAAAAAAAAAAAAAAAAAACCTACTTGCCCTAAAGGTCTGGGTGCTTAAGACAGAACACATATGAAAGCAAATCTTTGAATGTTTACATTCTGTGCCACTCATCCATCATTGGATCGTTGATGAAATTAATTCAAGTCTATTTGAAGATCTACTGTTGATGGTTTGTTTTTTTTTTCTCTAAGTTACCCTTGGGGCTGGTGAGATAACTCAGCAGGTAAAGACACAAGTCACCAAGTCTAAGGACCTGAGTTCCATCCCTGGAAGCCACACAGAGAAAGAATGAACTCTTGCAAGGTGTCCTCTGGCATCCACATTTGCGCAGTGGCATGAATGCGTGCACATGTGTTTCCATCGCAAATACACACACTATCAGTATAATTTTTGTTTTAATTTTTAAAAAGTATCTTGGGCTGGAGAGATGGCTCAGAGGTTAAGAGCACTGGCTGTTTTTCCAGAGGTTCTGAGTTCCATTCCCAGCAACCACCAGATCTATAATGAGATCTGGTGTCCTCTTCTATTCTGCAGGCATATGTGTAGACAGGACACTGTATATATAATAAATAAATAAATCTTTTTAAAAAAGTATCTTACCTTTAATCCCAGCACTCAGGAGGCAGAGGCAGGTGGATGTCTGTGAGTTTGAGGCTAGCCTTGTCTAAAAAGTTAGTTACAAGATAGCCAGAGCTATATACAGAAATCCAACCTCAAAAATCCAATGTGTGTGTACACATATATATGTATGTATTATGTATCTTACATATAAGTTAGTATTTTTTTAAAAAAAACAAAACTTATTTTCAGTTATTTCCGTGGCCAACATGATGGTTCAGTGGATAAAGCACCTCCTATACAAATCTGAAGACCTGAGTTTAAATCCCCAGTAAAGCCAGATACACTGGGCGGTGGTGGCCACGCCTTTAATCCAAGTACTCGGGAGGTAGAGGCAGGTGGATCTCTGTGAGTTTGAGGCGAGTCTGGTCTACAAGACCTAGTTCCAGAACAGCCAGGACTGTTACAGAGAGAAGTCCTGTCTCGAAAAACCAAATAAATAAATAAATAGAGAGACAGAGAGAGAGAGAGAGAGACAGACAGACAGACAGACAGACAGACAGAGAAGCCAGGTGCAGCAACACACATCTGTAATCCCAGCACTGATCAGGAGATGGGAGTGAAGAAGGAAACTCTGGGAGCATTCAACTCAGTTAACCTGGCGAGCAGAGGGAAAGGAAAATAAAGAGACCCTGTCTCAAACTAGGTAAGGACCTAAACCCGAGGTCTTCCTGTGATCACACATGCACCTGAGTATGCACCTGCATACACTCACATGAGTATGTGTACATGAGCATGCACACACGTATAGATGCGTACAAAATGAAAAGGCCTGAGCCATCATACCGCACACCTTTGGAAAGCCCTTTCAGGAAGTTGCGGCACTGCAGACTGGTAATCCCAGCAGCACCAGAAGTGAAACCAGAATTACAGGTGACTGTGGAGCACCGTGTGGTGCTGGAAACAGAACCTGGGGGTCCTCGGCAAGAGCAACACATGCTCTAACCACTGAGCCATCTATTCTCAAGCCGTAAAAAAGGGGGCTTGGTCTTGCTTTGTTTTTTGTTTTTAAGTTTTTCTACCTGGTTTATTCCATTTACAAATTCAGTTGTTCACCAGCTAGGTTTACTGCAGTCTCCATTTTTCCTCCCCTCTGGGCTGACCTGAAACTGTACAGGCCACAACAGTGGCTTCACGCTCATGCAATCCTCCTGCCTCAGCCTCCAAAGTACTAGGATTATAGGATGAATCACCACCTGGATCTCTAGTCTTCCTCAGAGACTTCTTTGTGCCCATCATCCCCTGCTTTAGGAGGAACTCTCACAGTCAGAGGTGGTGGTGCACACCTTTAGTCCCAGTGCTTTGCAGGCAAAGGCAGGTGGACACCTGGGAGC